TATATATATATATATTTATTCATTTACTTACTTGTTTATTTCTGCATCTTCACACACATAATATCTTCGGAGTCTGCAGCTGCTCAGGTCGAGGATGCCCCGGTGGTCTTCGGGGCCTTGCGCTTTGTGCTGGCAGCGTTGCCTTTGTTGCCTTGGCTCTGGAAGTCCAGTTCTCCGGAAAGCGCCCGGAGCAGCGCCATTGTGGGCAGTTTGGGGGCCGTGGCCTACGCCGCCGTCTTCGTGTCCTTCTCCTACGGGACCACCGGCGCCAAAGCTGCTTTCATCACTGCTCTGCAGACCACCGTGGTGGCTTGGCCTTGGCCGACTCAAAGCTCGCAGCAGCTCGCATGTTTGAAGCGTAGCGGCGTAGCAGCGGAAGCAGATCCGAGGTGGCTTCCTTGAGCTCTATGGCAGCCAAGCGGCTCAATCTGAGCACATTCTGCTCGGCACTTCTTGCGTTGGGTGGCGTAGCCGTGCTCGAGTTTTCATCTGGGCCCGTGGAAGCTACAATCGGTGACCTCATATGCATGGCTTCACCCATCCTCATCGGAATCAGCCGGCACCTCAGCCCAGACTTCGGCAGCCAGGATCCCTTTTAACATCTCATTCATAACATCAAATCCCATACAACATGAGAGCATCACCGGGTATTTGGCCGTGCTTCTTTAACGGTCTGTCACTCCGAGCCTGTTCGACCTTTCGCATGTCTGCAGGATGGGACATGACTTTGAAGTCTGACATCCTGACTGCCGAATACCAACGGACTAGCGAGATGAAGTCATCAGGGGGAGAGAAGAGAGAGGACAGAGAGAGAGCGAGAGAAAGAGAGAGGGAAGAGAGAGACAGAGAGGCCTTGCCTTTGGCTGAGAAGATGAGGGAGAGAGAGAGAGAGAGAGAGAGAGTGTGTGTGAGTGGGACAGCGAGAAACAGATAGAGAGAAGATAGAGCACACAGACAATACTTGACTAGGGTGTCTGCCTTCTTTCACCCAGCCGCTCAATAGTTCAATGCGTGGTGTTTCATGTCTCGGGCACGGAGGGCACACGACGGGACCCAAGCCGACAGAAAGAGTGAGAGAGAGAGAGAGATGCCGGTAGCTGCAGATGGCTCTCAAGAAGGGAGCAACAAAGGCATGAGGGTGGGCTCTCCTTGTCGTGAGTGTTCAGGGCACCCGGTGTCTAGTTACACTGACGGGCAATGCCCCCTCCGGACTCACCGTAGATCGACGCTCGTCGTCGATCGACCAACCCATTGCGCGCTCGTGCGCGGAAGGGTCGCGTGCCCTTCTGGACTGCGTGGAACAGGAGAGGCCGGACACATCTGTGAGAGACGAAGCGGGAGTTGAGGGTGAAGCAGCAGAGACAGTTGAGGCTGGCATGTGCTCGCCGAGAGCACGAAGAAGTTTCCAAAGGATGCCACACCCACTGCAGCTATCCAACTTTTGTGCTTTGGGATGCTCTTCGCAGTATGGCCGCTAGTCCGCAATTGCGACCCCCTGGGAAACGGTAAGCCCCCACGCGCCGCAAGCTCGCCCTCTGAAACCTTTCTCGTGAAGAGTCGAGCCGAAGATGTGTTGGATTTTCCACGTGGATGAGGAAAGCGTGCTTCGTTGAATCGAGAACCTGATGTTTTAGGTACACTGATGGGCTGCATCAATCTAAAGCTTTCGGAGTGTCTTCAAATGTCTTCAACAAGTTTTTCCAAACGGTTTGGGGGGAGTAGCCAGTAGCCACTAGCTATCACCAGCTTCTTTTCTACGTCCCTTCCTCCCTTGGCTAAAAGTCTTCGAGGTCGCTGGGTGAACTGCTGCTACGCCATGGGCCTGCGGGGCTGCTGCAGGGGGCCACCCACTTTCCCGAGCTGCTGCAAACGCCAGGCTTTAGCCAGTGCAGAGATTTGTGGAGGGCGTAGTCCAGCGTTTGGGTGTTGCGGGGCTTGACGTAACCTGCCACAGAGAATGCCTGGATTCTAGATAGATTTACATGAAATTTGCTGAGGGGTTTGACGGTTTTGGGGTTGTCTTGACCTGACGACTGTGGTGGCCTGCAACCAGTGGGTTCGGCGCATCATGATCGCTTCTTGAAGCTGCTCTACTTTGGCCTGGTCGATGTGGGAATACTGTCAGCTGATGTTGTTGTGGCTTCTACTCTCTCGTTCAATGTACATTCTCCTGAGCGAACAAAGAGTTCATGCATGATTCAAGCATGCTTTTGAGTGTCTGGTCAGTGGACCCACTTGTCTTACACACGCCCTGACAGACACCTATGGTTTGCCTTGAGCCCGTTGCAACTATGACTGTTCAGCCGTGTGCAGTATGTATGTTACACGTAGATACATGCGTATGTAGGGAGGTGCAAGAGGTTTCATGTTCACATAATCCGCACTCTGAGCGTAGTGTATTGCAATATCAATCCTGCAGAATTGCGTGGCAGAAGATACTACAGGTTACAGGCAATACAGTACTATACTCGTACAGTTCGCACAATCATACAATGCATTGCAGTATGTTGCAATAGGGACACAATGGTGAAGAAGCAGTCAGGTAGACCAGCTAACGGAGTGAGAGCTGTCCTCATGCGCGTGTGTCACAGTGTTCACTGAGACCTGTGCTTGGAGGTCTCCTGCCGGCGCTGCTGTTTTCATCTTTCTTTGGCAATACGGTGACCATGCTACTCAGCAGTGATGCTCGCCAGTGATTGATCTTTATCTCCTGTTGAGCGGCGTCGGCGAAAGGTTATTCCTCTGGACAGGGACCCTAAAGCCATGGGATAGAAGATGATAGAAGCCTGCTGCTGCCGTCCAGGAGGCTATGAAGCGCCTCAAGGCATCTGACGTCCGGTTCCCAGCTTGATGCCAGACATGTCACTGGCATCACCCGTATCAACGGAAATGTAGAGGTCCAATGACACCCTCGCCCTTGTTGAGACCTCCCTACAGGAAGGCTAACTCTGACCCCAAAACAAACCTTTCAAAACCCCTAACACAGAAACATCGCAAGAAACATCTCCGTCTTCGCTGCGTCTTTGCAGACAAAATTTCTCAGCTCCGACACTCGAATGAAAATGTCACGAGATGGCAAGAAAGCCCTCGGCAGCACTTCCTGCTTGAGAAGAGAAGAAGCCGAAGAAGCAAGTCGTGACTAATTCGTACATGTACACATGCCTGTGTGCATGTATGCATGACTGAATGTATGTATGCATGAAAGAATGAATTAATGTATGTAGGTAGGTACGTATGTATGCAGGCAGGCAAGCAGGTAGGTAGGTAGGTAGGTAGGTAGGTAGGGAGCATGAATTCACGGTTTGGACAGACAGGAAGGGATATAGACGTGTAGATAGATAGATAGATAGATAGATAGATAGGTAGGTAGGTAGGTAGGTAGGTAGGTAGATAGATAGATAGATGGATAGGTAGATAGATAGATAGATAGATAGATAGATAATGCTAGATAAGGTTTCCCTCATCGTGGCCTCCGAGCCTCTTTGGGCAGCTCTGGCTGCCGCAGCCTTCCTCGGCGAGGCGCAGCTCTTTGATAGTTTGGGGGCATGTCCGGTGGTGTAGAAAAAGCAGGCGATTGCTTTGGGCTTTCTTCGGGTTTCCGGCCTGGTTTGAGCTTGAGGGGCTTCGTGATCGGAGCACTGTGCTCTAGCTGGCAGCTCAGATCTTCACCGCCTCTGACATGGCTGGTGGCTTCCTGGTCGTGGCCGGCATCCTTTGCAACGAGCAGCCCGGACTGTTTTGGCGCCGGGCATGTTGCTTTCCTGAACGCTTCTTGCGAAGGTTCTGGAAGAGCCCCGAGGCTGAGGCCGAAAGCAAGAGCGAGGTTGGGGCCGCGGCGCTGTGGGATGTGCAGTTCGAAGCTGGTGCTTTGCTGAGCAGGTTGAGCTGGTCAGACTGAACAGTGCGGCATCTTCATGAAGTCACAGTGAGGAAGGCGTGGGTTCGACTCCGGAGCGGCGTTCCTTTAATGAGGAACGCACTTTGAGCTCCGAAGGAAGGCGGCTGGCGGCAGGCCTTCGTGTGACTCCCGTCAGAATCCTTTTGACCTGCACGAGCTGCTGTGGTGTGATGCCAAGCGGCCGCACGGGCTTCTTTAGATGAGGTGCCTGTGCCTCCCAATACTGCCGGTAGGCACCAAACCGCACGCCACAACCACAAAAGTCGGCCAGAGGGCGCGTGCTTTTGATCATCTTGGATTTGTGGTTTGGCTGTGCGGGCGATGCCTACTTTCGTTTTCCCACCATGGCCAGCTTGCAGAGCATCGGCGCAGACGATGCGACGCAGCGACCAGAGCATGCCCCTGTGATGACGAGTCGATATCGAATCGTTGACCTAGGAGTGGTTGAGGGCAGTTCTGGTGCATGGCCCGCCGATAAATGTACAGCTAAGACTCGGCATCTAAGGCCTGCATGCGGCTCGAACATGTGCCAAGACTGGGCAGTCGTAAGTCACTATCGGAAGCTGAAGCAATTATCTCTTTTCTATTCAGATGTCACAGAAATCAGTGGGACAGAATTCCATGGTGCTTCAAGGTTCTTTTGTCAAGCAAGACTCGACCCCGATCGCCCAGAGGTTGCATGCCTCATGAAAGTGGCCAATCAATCCAATCCACGAACTCATTGCGTCGGTTTGTTGACGTATGCATTGCATGTAAAATAAAACTGAGAATTCGAAAATAAGGACACTCTAGTCCGTCGCATGCGCAGCACAACCTGCACGTGACAGGCGGGCTAGGAGTTCCTCCTTTGTCCGGCCATGGCAGCTAAGCCCGACGAGCCTAAGACGCAAGTGGACTATGCTGCGGTCAGGAAATAAAAATTGAAAAGGAGCTGAAACTGAAACCTTCATTGACTCGTTTTGGAGGCGTCCAGGGTTTGCAGTGAGGGGAGAGGCACGTTCTCGGCACCAGATCGGACAGCATTCGCAGGTTGCAGGCCGGTGTACTACAAGACGTTGTAGCCTTCCTGATGCTCAAAGCCCATTGCGCGCGACAGCACAGCCCCTTTGCCACAACTTCGCCCACGGAAGGCCCTGTCGCGAATTGCTGGCATTGCTGCACATGTGGCTCCCACAGTGCGCAGAGCCGAGGGGGCATGTTGTCCAGCGGTTGGTGTGCATAGCGCAGTGTCCGAGAACGGACCGGAGTAGTGCGAGGCATATCAACGTATTGATTCCTTCAGAAGTCCGTTTTGCATGGTTGAAGTCTGGAGCCTACAGTGTATGCGTTGTTTGTGGCTTACAGCTGATCTCAGCCTCTATCCGGCGCGCACGATCACCGATCCGATCCCACATCCTGCACGCGCCATATTAAAGCTAAGCCGACATCGGTGCTGACCTTGGTGTGTAAAGCCTAGAATGCCCTAAATAAGGCCCCGTAAGCCTATAAAGGACCTGCAAGCAAAAGGCTCCAATTGCAGATTCGATTCGTTCTTCCGGGTTTCTCCCGTGCCGGCCGATGGAGCCGATGCTGCACGCCGGCCCTTCCCAGGTCCTGAAACAGGACGTGGAGGGGACGCGCGGATGTCCTTGTTTCCACTCTGCCTTTGCAGCTCTGTGCACGATTAGATTCTTAGATCTGCTGTCGATGTAAGCTTCAATATGGACTTGTCTTGAGGACTTGCCCAGACGTGCCGTGGGCGAGACCCATGAGGACTCCACATCAGTGAAATCCAAGCCTGCTCCGTGCGTGGGTGGTAGCGACGACAATGCAAGTCCGGAGTGCATCACTCTCCTGGACCCTCGGCAGTCCTCAAACTTTGGACTTTAGAGACACCTTTATGGCAGCAAGCTTCATGCAAAAAATCTGTTCGCGCCGGAGGTGCGGGGCCTCTCCGAGCCAAGTCGCTTGGTGGGCCGAGCCAAGGCAGAGAGCCGCCCGGGGGGACTCGGGGCGCGCTCTGTTTCTGTTTCGCGTCTTTGTCATCATTTCACGGGACCACGATTCCCCAGGGCTGAGCACCATCCCTCGCATGTTCCCCGTCCTTTATGGGTTGACTCGTGTCGCGGCACGCCTACGCCTGCCAGGGCTTTGCTTCGCATTGTCTCTTGGCTTTTCGAGGTGCCGGCGGCCCTCGGGGCCGCAGCAGCTGTGGCAGCGCGTAGGCGTCTCGGAAGGCGTGCGCAGGCGGCCGGGGCCTCACTGTAGTCTCGGGCCTCTGCTCTGGCGCCTGGCGCATGACGCATCCGCATGGGCGCTCTCTTGCAATGTCGAGCCCGAGGCTGCGACACTGACCTTCCAAGACGATGGTTGGGATGACGATCCGGACACGAATGCCGAAGACTCAGTTTCACAGCGCGAGTCCCAAACATAGACTCTCGCTGCTGAACGGCTGGCCGAAACTTCCATTCCAACAGGAGAAGGTTCCTTTGAGCAAGAAGGCGCCACTCCTCATTGACGGCCGGGGATCTCAGCTGAATGCTCGTTCCAACGTGCTCCTGACACCGCCTGCACAACTTGGTTTTCTTCGACTGCTTTATCCCCGCAGTCCAACAGCTACACGAAGCGCGGAATCTGACAACGTTTGTAAAACCGGGTGGTCGAGTCTTGTCATCATCTTTGAGGCCACTCTTGACTCAGCCAAGGCCGTGTCGTGGTTCCCCAGCGGAGTTTCCGGGTGACCAGCCCAGCCACGGGGTGCCTGGGCCAAGAAGAAACTTCAGCAGGTTGAGGCCGTGAGAGCGAGGCTGGCAATGAAAATGAGACGTTGTTCCCACTGCGGCACGGCACAGAAGTATCTATAAGCACTCGCCACGCTTAAGTGCCTTCACAAGGCGTTGCTTGAAGTGATTGGAATTGCTCCACTTTTTGTGCCTAAGGGACCTGGTTGGCGTCGCACCAAACGCATCGAAAGAGATGATTGAGGTGCCAGTTGCGGGTGTCCCCACGAAAGGACTCCAAGACAGGGATAGGAGAGATTTCTGACTGGGTTGCCGAAACGGGTTTCGGGCTATGTTGCGGTTTGCTGTTTCGGCCTTGGTCCCTTCTTTGCAGAGGCCGCCGTGGTTGCGGCCGCGCGCGCGGCGCCGGGCTGGGCTGCGCTGCGACATGCGGAGCGGGCGGCGATGCTTCAGCCGCTGGGAGTGGTCTTTGCAACGATCAATTAGCGGTTTTCGTAGCTTTGCTGAGCAGCTGGAATTCTCACACGGAGTTCCGGGAAAGCAGTCTATCCTCAAGCGGATGAGGGCCGATTCCCGAGGTCTTGTGCTGATGCACTCAGGGCAAACCTCGAGGCTTGGGAAGCCTGGGGCACGGGGAGTTCACAGAGATTCGCAGAGCTCACTGTCTTTTCTAAATGGGGTCCGGACCCCTGTTGTGAAAATTCAAAGGCACTGGCCACACTCCAGACAAATGAAAGTGGACGACCGCTGGCAGAGACGCGGCTGGAGGTCGCTGTTTGCTTGCTGTTTTGGGAGGGGGGGACGGCCGAGAAGCTGTCGGTCAGCTTCGGAGTGGACTGATCTCTTTCGCTCCAATCTTGAAACAGCCTGCATGCTTGTTGCACGTGCGCAGGTCATCGTGGCTGCAGCTTCCTTTGAAAATGCTGCACGCCGCCTGGCTGGTGGTGAGATGCCACTATTGAGTAGCTGCAGAGAATCGCACATGGAACCGGCACTTGTCGAAGCGAGTGCCGCGAGCAGGCTTCTTGGATGTCAGCCAGGCCTGTGCTTTGCGACAGCCTACAGAGCAAGAGTTTCAGTGTTTCATGGTCATGTTGTAAGTCCTTGGAGGATCTCTAGCTTGCCTGCAGGAGCGGTTGATCTCGGAGGACGAAGAGAAGAAGGCTCTGAAAGAATCGCCTTGGTCAGACCGGATCGTGCTTCTGCTGAGAGGTCGTCATTCGTCGAATGCCCGTGGGCGTGGTGGCAGTGATCGCGCTACTCCACAACAATCAGCGCTGTGGGTCTGGTGCGGAAATCTCCCCCTTGTGTCGAGGAAAGCTTGCGGTTTGTAGAGTTCTCGCAGCTTTTGAGAGTAAGGCCATGGAATGCACCCATTGTGCTCGGCTGGAAACCGACGGCCACGGCATTGGCTTGCGGAAACCCGGTTTCTTGATCGGGAAGAGAACCGTGATCCACCGTTATTTGAGAAGTTTCGAAAAGCTGAAGTGTTCTTCTACCACGTAGGAGTAATTGCACTGTATGACTTGGCAGAGCCGCTCCACCTTCAGGTGGTGCTGAAGCCCGCGCCGCAAACGCCTCTGACAACGCTGCGAATCGGGGAGCTGCTCCGGTCGCTGCTGCCCCGAGGTGCCCTCAGCAGTGCAGAAGCCGAGCATCGTCGGTGCGTATCTGGGACCAGGAGTGCTCAATGTCGTCGTCGGTTCAGATCTCAACACCCCGAGGCCTGTCTGAAGATGTTCGCGCATGACTTGCGCGACGTGTGCATGCTGATGATGATAATGATAGCTATGGTGTTTATCATCGTCGTGTTTGTTTGTTTGGCAGGCCCGGCGAGATCTTGACGAGCCATGACCTTGCACTCTGCCTGCAAGGAAACCGGTGGTCTGTTGTTCGTTTTGTTTTGCATTGACGCGCATGGGTACTATCATTGCTGTCGGTAGTTTTCCGGTATCACGTTATAGATGTCGGTATGGCGGTATGGCATTGCAATGCTCCTATACTAGCAGTCTCCATCTCAAAGTGCTTTTGCCACTTCACGCCAGTTTGTTTCGTGATTCGATGCTTACACAGATGTTGTGACGGCATTCCACAGCCTCATTGCTACATATTCGGCTTTATATCATCACATGATCTTAGATGTGATGTCCCAGGTGCGGAAGGTGGTCTTCACAGGTTCCACTGCCATTGGCAGCAAGGCGGAACAAAGTGTCAGCTTCTACTCCGCCACAGGATCCGAAATCCTCACCCGCAGCCCTGCCTAAGCCCCAAATGTAGCTCTACCCGAGCCCCAAGCGTAGCTCTGCCCAAGCCCCACTCCCGCCTGTGAGCCTGATGCCAGGTCATGGAGGCTTGTGCCAAAGGCTTCAAGCGGCTGCTTCTGGAGCTGGGAGGCGCTGAGCTGAGGAAAGGCTTCTGCAATTTCAGATAGACTCTGACAAGATCGCTGGCTCAGGCAACGATCCCGCGATCCCTAACTGCAGCAAGTTTTTGGTTCCAAGGTTTTCCGTGACGGTTGTGAGCAGCCTCACACTAACCAGGATCGTGCGAGAGGATTGCGACGTAGAGAAGGCGGCCGAAGGCCTTTTCAAGGGAGCGCGCCTGGGCTGCGAATGTGACTACAACAAGGCTTCCCAGAGCATAAGAGCAGACCTACGTGGTTGTCTGCATGTATGTGCAGGTTGATAGGCACGCATACCTCTTGAAAGAGAGACAAGTCTGATAGACGACGTTCGACTTGATGAAGCGCACTTAGTTTGTGGCTGCGTCGCAATGCACTAGAGTCGTGGCACCAATTCCAACAGCAGTTTCAGCGGAGCCGCAACTGCGCACCGTCGATGCGTGAAGGTTTTTCAACAACGGCCAGACCTGTTGTGCAGCAAAGCGAATCTACGTTCAGGACAAAGCGTGCTGTCACGAGGGGGTGAAGCAGTGGAAATTATTGAGGAATTCGGATCAGTATGTTCAAAGCTGTAAGCAAGTTCACTCGCTGAGCATCTGAGCTTGTGCCTGTGATAGCCTGAAATATACCAAGCCTGCAACTTCTCTTGACATTCCGTGACGCGGCCATGGGTAGAGTTTCCAGCTTTTGCTTCCAATACGTCGCCTCCAACATCCTGTGGTTCGCTCGTGCTATTTTGGGCTGATGTTTTTCTTGCCTTGCTCGTCATGTCCAATGTGGGAGTTTCCGAAAATAGGGGACCCTAATATAGTACCCTAAATAGTAGGATCCTTATTATAAGGACCCCAAAATAAGGTACCCCTAATTTTCGGAAACTCCCATGTGGAAGGAGAAGATTTACGACAAGTTCGTCAAGGCCGCTTTGGCTTGCACACCGGGAGCCAGATCAGCTCCAATGCTGCAACATGTCCAGGTGGCTGTTGCCAGGTTGACAAGAATCTGAGCCTCCCCCAACATCCCCCGCCCCCCCCGGGTTCGTTTGTTTTAGGAGATCGG